TCACCTGCCTTGCAAGTTTATAAAAGAATAAATTCATGGCAGTAAGTAAAAGCAGAGGATATGGTGATTTGAAATATCTAGCTACAGATAGAACAGGAAGAGAATAAAACTGCTGAGAAATCCCTGGGAAGGAGATGGGGGTCCTTATCCTGATTCCAATACAAGTAGGTCAGGTCCCACAAATCCAGCCCCCATCCCATGCTCTCCCCAATTATCAAGCGCTAGTGATCCTGTGGCAGTGAGCCTGTCAGCACCACACCATGTCTCAGCCATGCAGCCTGAACATCTACTTTCTGGCCTTGATATACAGCCCATCCACAGTTCCCTTCCTGAGAGAATAACCCCCCAATGCACCGTGAGGATTTTATTCCAAACATATGTTGCAAATGTTTGAAGTATCCACTATCCCTGGGTTTTCTTTTTTTTTTTTAAGTCAAACTCACAAAACCTAAAATACTTTGATTCCTACCTAAGTGCAATTTGTGAAGATGCAACATTGCATACCCAAGTACAGTATAATAAAGTTTGGTGCAATAAAAATTTTACAGATGTCCTTCTGAGGGGGAAAAAAGATTTCCCTTTTTCCAGTCTTACAGGAAGCCTGCCCACACGTTAGAAATACAAAGTTAGTATATATAGAAGCACAAATTAGGCATCTTGGAAAGTTTGCATTTTCCAACCACAGAGAAATGAAGGAATTACTGTGAGTGGTCAGATATTCGGCTACACTGTATTAAAAGAGTATTTTCTCTCCCACAGCCTGGTGGAGCTGGCACAGGACTCAAAGGAAAAGGGAATGGCCTAAATAGGTGTTCCTGAACCTTGAGCTGCTGAAGATCTGCAATGAACTTGTGTAAGTGACAATGCAGCAGGACTATTACAAGGAAAAGAAACATGATCAAACTTTAATGTTTCACTTTAACTTAATTTATTTATTTTTTTTATTTAAGTTCAAACTCATTTCCTTTTTATTAAAGTTCAAGTTAACATTACACGGTTTGGTACTCAATAAAGGGAAACTTGTTCAAATAAGGTAATATGTTATTGTCAGTATTTCCAGGTGACTGTTTAACAGTAAATCCTTGGGAAGCCTATTGATGGGGGTTTATGCTTTGTCAAGGCCCAGTTCTTCTGGAATGGAGATTCCCAGTTCATTTAAAGTTGGTCTAAGTTCCTGGATGACATAAGGGTAGATTTCCTTATGAGGTCCTGCTTTGTCCTTAACAACCTCTAGGATGCAAACAGCACTAGCAAAGTCATTTAACCGTCTGCATGCCCGCAAAGCAGCATCAATGATTTTGGGTACTGGAACCAGATCATAGCCAACAAGTGTGTTCATACCTTTACGCAATTCCCAGGTATTAATATCTGGTTTTTTGAAGTATGTCACCAGCGAGCATCAAATTCCTCATCTGTCTCATGTGACCCATGGAAGTAGCATAGAACTGACTGGATAGCTGTGGTGGGGTCGGGGGTGGAGCAGGGTGCAGGAGGCCTGGAGGGCTGGCATGGGTGACTGCAGTTGTTGCTAGGTGCATCGGTGGAGACCAGCGCCGAGCATGATGGTGATGGCAGCGTGCTAATTTAATTTAATTTGAATGAGTTTTGTCTTGCATAGTTTTCTTCTTCCATTATTATTATTGTTCAAAATATTACAGATGTCTACCCTCACCCAAGAATATGCTTTTACTGATTTTTAGAGACAGAGGAAGGGAAAGAGAGAGAGAGAGAGAGAGAGAAACATCTATCAGTTGCCTCCAGTACACAAACTGACCAGGGATCAAACCCACAATCTAGGTATGTGCCCTGACAGGGAATCTAAACAGCAATCTTTTGGTGTACAAGAGAACACACTAACCAACTGAACCTCCCAGCCAGGGCTTACATCTCGTTTTTAAAAGGCGGTACTTTTCTCATACACTAAAAAATTCTTAGAAGATATGATGTATCAACTTTAACATCACATCAGTTATTATCATTACCTGGATAATTCGATCCAGGTAAAATCTAATAAATTTTATTACAAAGTACCTAAAAGATACTTTTTATACTAGAAGATTAAATAAGCCAAAAAAGTAAAGTGACATCCTATCTCACTCTTTGAGACTTAGTTTAGGACATCTTTAAATTATTTAATACATAAAAAAAATATTGAACCTTTTGTTTTCCACATGTATTAACTTTGTATTTGTTACATAAAATGCTTTCTGTCAAGAATTTAAAATGTTAAAACTTTTCAAACTCATTTAAAAGCTTTAAAATTTCTTTACTTAAAAAATAGGAAAAAAATATAATCAATCCACTATCATTCCATGAAAAATGGTTATGTTCAGAAAGCCACAGAGCACAGTTTCTGACCACACCAACCCTTTTCCTAAGGTTTATAAAACAATCATTTCATCTGTAATCGGTGTTTCTAGGAGAAATTGACCTCAGGCAGGCAAGTGAACAGGTCAGGAGGGAAAAGCCAGTCTACCCTTAACCAAACACAACTGCAGCATGAACAAAAATAACTTGGTTTGGAGAATGAATTCATCACATACAGATGAAGATGATGATGATGGAACATGAAAAAAAAGGGAGGAAATAGAAATATGAGGAGGAAGAAGAGGAGCCAGAGAAAAGCTATATAATACTTTTGAGGCACTTACCATGAGCCCGTGATTTTATTAAATACTTTATTTGCACTGGCTCACTTATTTCTCAAGAGAACACCATGGGGCAGGCAGTCATGTATCACCCCCACTCAACAGTTAGGAAATGATTCTTAGAGGAGTTAGCACACTTGGCCAAGGTCACAGAGCCAGTGAGTGGCAAAGCTGGTACTTAAACTCAAATCCTCTGAGTGTTAAGCCAATCTGTGTAATCTCTGACTCCTGGTCCATATAATATATGTAATGATATCATTTATTTTTTACCAATTTAGGGAGTACATTGGAACAGTGGGTCAAAATAACATGTGCTTGTAAGTTATCATGTAATTTTAATAGTAATTTGAACAATACTGTGGGAAAAGCTTAAGAATAACTAACCTATTGGTGCTATGCCCTCTAAACAGAGTGACAATGAACTGTTCCAAGCCCCACTAAGAGCTCTCCAGTGTCCAATGCTAGTTAATATTCCACTGGAGGCCCAGGAGGTGGGTCGCACACACAGATCACCGAGAGAAGGAGAGAGAGAGTCTCTGGTATGCAGAGAGTCCCCAGACCCTCAAATGACAAGGAGAGGATTCAATGGGCAAACTGTTAGAACAAATAGATCAAGAGCAAGCTGCAAGTTGAATGGCACAGAGCAAGTTAACGGTCATCTGCCTACTTCCATCAGCCAAAAAAGAAGTTTTCTTAGCTGTCCTGGCCAATTAATACCTCACTAATTGGAGGGTATCTAGAATAGAAAATAAAACATAAATATGTATACAATGGGAAAAGTTTCATTCACATATAAGGATAAAAACAATGCAAGGAGCTTATGGCTAATAATCTCGACAAATTTTTTTTAGTTAAGTGCACTACCAGGGAAAATTAATATAGGTAGAAAGTATGTAGATTCCCTCACACTTTCTGCATGGATGATCTCTAACAGAGACCCATAAATAAATAAAAAACAATGTAGAAAACAGGAATGTGCTCAGAGAAAAACCCTACCAACACTATTTTAAACTCTCCTTTCTAAAATAAAATAAAAATTAAAATAATAAAATAAAATAAAATAAAATGACCCTTTAATGAGGGAAGGACAGGAACATGCACAACACACCTCCTCCTTATTTCTGCAGCTGTGGACATAAAAACTGCAGCAATAGGACTGATAAGCACTTTTTAAATTGAGAAGTTGTAAACTTTATAAGAATCCATAAAATCTTTTCTTCCACACTTCTGATTACTTTTTTTTTTAATTATCTCTCCACTTAAAAAATAATGTATCTTCAATCTTTACCAACACTATTTTGGGGGAGCAGCTGCTGAGACTTCAGACTGTGGGAGGCCCTTTGATCTGTACCCTGATGAGGGACTGTCCCCCTGTGCTGCAAGCCAACTAATAAAGAGATGGAATTAGCTTTTATCCTGGACACTTTCTTGAGCAAGGAAACATGCACTAATCAGCTGTCCTCAATAATCAGTCATCTGGCTAATGACCTTTTGCCTTAAAACACTAAAACTTCTGAATGATGTGGAAAAGGGGAAACAAGAACCAGTCCCCCACTCTGGAGCTCAATAGATCATCTGGAATTGGAGCCGGGAAGGTTAAATGGCAAGTCTGTATCCTGGCAAGGTGATAAATCTGTAATCAAGAGCTAAAAGCTTTGGCACCTCAATACAAACTTCATTACTCCACAACCAAATTACATTTTTTTAACTAGAAACAGTCCAGAAATAAACTCAACACAGTATTTTTCTTTATATTCTGCCTTTAGAGAAAACCACTGTATATCTGTATTCAGAGTCCTAGTTGATTTCCTAAACTTTATTATTGCTGAAAAAGGGAACTGTCTATGTTTCTGGTAGACTTATTAGTGAAGAAAGTAGAACATGTACAAAAATCTTCTATGTTAAAGAATTTAGCACTGATTTGTTGAAAGTGGTTTGTTCCTCAACAATTAAGCAAAAATTCACTGAAAATGGGAATTGTTGCTGTTAAAGATTTTAGTTAATGCATCCACTTTAACAATTCCCCCATCAACCAATTCTCCTCTTACAGTGTGTAGTTGGGGAAAGGAAATCTGATTCCAGTTCCCAGGAAAGGTCCATGTGAGTGAGACACAGATGGACACCTCCATGAAAGCCACCCCACAGAAGCCTGAAATTACTTCGGGATATAAGGAAATGGCACTCCCTAAAAAGAATGGACAGGATGTGGGAGAAGTAAGAAGAAAAGTAGACAGTTAATTAAACATTTGTATAAATTAATGTAAGTCAAATAATTCATAAAGTGCATTTGCATGCACATACACAGAGCCTCCATGGCTCTGGAACACATGCTGTAAGGCAGGACCCACTTACGGTAGTGCGGTTCCATGTAACCATTCCTGGGGTCCATGGCGAACACGGCCCCACGGTACGGGACAGAGGGCTCCGCCAGGTGGGGCAGAGACCCATGAATCTCCTTCTTGATCAGCGAACCCCTCTCATCACTAGATGTTGCAGGCTCCTCACTGATCTTGCCAAGCCCCTGGACACTCTGTGGCTGCATGGTGACTGCGTTTCTTCTCTCTCTGTGATAGGTCTGTCCAGGACTTTCATCCTCTAAAGAAAGAAGGAACATAAAAGCTCTGTGACTATTTTAAGGAGCAATTCAAAAATAGTCATCACTTAGGTCTTCCTCCAAAAAAGAAGCCACTTTCTCATTCTGGCAACTTTGAAAGCTACACCATGATCAGATGTTCTTCAGACAAAATTGCTTATGAATGAGGGTCCAAAATACAAATGGAAGGATGGAGGTTATCCTGAAATTAAATTGAGATGTAGGGAGAGTCAGCAAATTATCATCATAAACTCACAGCTAAATCTGCTAGTGCAGATCATGGAAAGCTCCAGAGCCCCTTGCATGACACTTCAGACCATAGGACAGAGCTGATAACTAGAAGGAAAAAGGCTCTTCCTCAGGGACTTGCCAATGCCCCTGCAAGTCCCACTGAGCTGGACATTTTGCCAGCCTAGGGCTGTAAGTGTACAGCTTCCCCTCATCTGTCTGAGGAAGCTGGGCCTCTGGGATAACAGGGGTTTGGTCACCCACTGAGGTTCTGGGTGATCCGGGAGTCGAAGAGCCTCTGTTCCTCAGAGGATGATCTGTTAGAAAGTGATCCAGACATTTTTGTGTTTTAGTTTTTTAAGTCAGATTTGTAACCCAATGAGAGATTTAACAGAGCCAGAAATGGCACAGAAAATCCACTGGTTACAAAGGATAAAGGTGCCAATCATGGAAAGCTCCAGAGCCCCTTGCATGACACTTCAGACCGTGGAGCAGAGCTAATAACTAGAAGGAAAAAGGTATGAAGGTGAAAGTTCAAGGGTGAGATGGCATCCATTATGCTGATATATGTACATACTCTGGTGGGGTCCAGACATTGCTTTAAACATGTAAGAAAGAGCCATATATATATATATATATATATATGTATATCCCGGCTCTCTAATACTTCTGTTTTCCTTTGATCTGTAAGAACTTTCCATCTATCCAGTATGGTTCTCTGTAAATGTGACTGGATGACCTTTCTATAATAGTAGATCAAAGAAACAATGCATTAAATTAAACCAGACTGGAGATCTCACCCCACAACAAGTGAACCAATTCATCTGTTAGAATCATACACATACTCTAAAAAACTACATACGCCAAACAAGCTCTGCATTTAACCAACAGACTGTCCTCTGACAGGTAAGTGCTGATGGAAACAAAATTGTTCAGGCACTGCTTAGGTATCTAACCTGAAAACTGCTGATCTTAAAAAAAAGAAGAAAGAAGAAGAAAGAGGAAGAGGAGGAAGAAAGAAACTACAATGGAGTATAAATAATAATATTTTTGTAAATTTACATGGACAGATTTTGAACACATCCCAATATACAAACTTATCTTCAAAGTATTCCATAAAGCAGATATGTCTAGGTGAGAGCACCTGAAAACCAGAAATAGTAAGCTTTAGCAGTCTGGTAGTTGTTTAAACAAAGTCAGAAGGAAGTATAACTATAAACAAAGATAAGCACGACAATACAAACTAAAGAAATGACTACTGTTTTGTACTCTTTCTGCCTATGTCTAGGACTTTAAGAAATAGGCAATGCATTTTTTTTCAGCATAGCAAATGACTTGCAAAACAGTATAATCATGAGGTACCTTTTAGTTGTTGGTGAATTTGCTGACTACTACGGGGTAACTGTGAAATATTATTTTGTGCAGATCCTCACCCTAAACCTTGTAATTATGGGATAAATTATGAGTTTAATCTATCAAATAACTACTAAAAAACTTGGTGTAATACCACATTTTCACACAATGGCCTTTACAGAAGCAATTCAAACTATGCTGTTGTTAATTTAAAAACAAACTACCAAAAAAAAAAAAAAAATCCTACATTTTTATTTTCATTCTGATTAATACTTTTAGGCACTAGTCTACCCTTGTAATTTATTAGCAGTAAAGTTGCAAGCTATAGAATAAGGGCTTACAGTTATGTAAAAGCAAAAGGGTGTCAAAAACACTAAAACTCTTAGTCAGTTTTATAAAAATTTCTGTAACTTACAAATGGCCAGTCATATTTTCCACTAATTTATGCCTGTATAAAATCTTTATTTTAACTTACAACCTGAACTTGCAGCACTGAAGTGCAAATGCTATAGAATGGACGCTCATTTGGAAAGCTACGGAACCCTTACCAAGAGGGGCTATAATTCGTAATTAGCATTCTCTGGGAAAGATGAAGAACCAACCTCTACTAATCTCTTCCAGGTTTAAAACAGGATTCCCTTCACTTAGTCTTCCTGGAAGAAATTAACTCTTCTTCTCTTAAAACTGTATAGCTAAATTGAGGGAGTTTCTCTTAGAAGCCATGCCTTTATAATGAGTATTTTAATCCAACTTCATGAATAATTAAAAAATTGGCATGGTCTGTTTAGAGTCCTCCCACCTGCCCCCAGCCTCCAGGGAGATGGAAGTTGGGGAGAGTGAAAATAAGGGTGTTGTTTTAGCTAAATGATTCTTTTTCCACAAGTACTGAACTTTATAAAAATAAATTTTCTTAATGAGAGTTAAGCCAACATGTGTGAATATTAAAGTTATAAAAAGAAAAAAGCAAAGTTCAAATATTTAACACAGAAAAAAATAACTAATTCCTTTAGTAAAGTAAAAAAAATGCAGGCAAGAATTTTTTTTAATGTGGAAACTTTCATCATACTTTTAAAATAGTTAAGGCTACCACAATTTTACCTACCCTCCCTCTCCAAAACATTCCAGCAGACAAATATTTCATGAAGTTTACTTCATGCACTGAGTTGCTTCTGATGGGCATTCAGATAAAATCTTGACAGTACATATGCTCCAGAATACAAACAGCTATGGAGCTTAAAAGCACACTCTCCACAGTGAAAGGGAAACCTTCCAAGCAATATTCCTGCCTACTCTTATAAATTTAGCAACCACTTCAGCAAGCCAAAAGACGAAGCTGTCTAATCTTGTTCAGTTGAACCAAGTTGTTCAATAAAGTATGAGAGTCAGTGCAGACAGCTAGTCCAGGCCAAATTATTGACAGAAACATACTGTCCACCATGGCAACAAGCAGAAGTCAGCTGCAAAAATGTAAGCAAATGGCCCACTGCTACAGGATCATCTGCCAATGGACTTTAACAGCCAAATACAAGGCGGCTATTCGGCTTCTCGGTTAAAACTGCTGCATGCTCAGGAGTCATACCAAAATATGCAGTTCACTAAAAAGTTTCAGGAAAAAATTATTTCAAATACTGTCATCATAATCCCAACCCTGTACCTCCTTCTTTCTGTATACCCATGCTTAAGTGGAAGTTACCGAATTCCTGCCCCAAATGAAGAGCTACCCAAACATCACATTTTAGAAATTGCCCCAGATTTTCCAAATTCATCCAAAGGCAATTGACATCAAGCCAGACACTCAATGCCATAAACTGAGAACTCAAAAGTTGCTTCATTGAAAACACTGCTTAGACTATTTACAACAAAGATTAAAAGAAAGTAATCCTATTGCATGAAGTAGAACTGGAACACACACTCTTCCCATGCATTTCCTCACAAATTCCTGACAATTTCTCACTGCAACCCAGGAAACAAGTGTCTATTTGCCTAAAAGTATCAAAGGATCCTTCCAATATGAAAATAAAACCCTGCTCTGCATCACTAACTAGGGACACCTCCTGTCACCCTAACAAAATTAGCTGACTAGGAAGGAGCTCACTGTACAGGTGTTTACCATTTTTTAAAATTAACATGGATTTTAAGCCGTGCCCTTAAATCCCATTTTAACACCATTACTCCTTTCTTTCCCCAAGATGTAGAAGACAGAGTGTAAGAAAAGAGACAATACTTACAACCTAGTCCCCAGGCTCTGGCTAGCTACTTTCTGCAAACTTCTCTTGGTGGGCGTTCTCTTAACTGTACAGACCCTCTAGAAACATTTGGTGTCTCCCTGCCTCCCCTCTTCTTTGCCTCTCCCAGGCAGTGCTTCTCCCATTAGAGGAATTAAAAGTGGTTGGAGCCATTCTAAATTTAACAAGCTCATTAGTATTCTTTCTGAGTGCTTCTGAGTGAACTCTCTCTATTCAAGCCATTCACTCCAGGAGAAGGGTCAGGCGGCTAATCATTAAATCAAACTAATGTCACCCTATCACAATCAGCGCAAGAGAAGGAGGGTTTATTATTTCAGTTTATGCTAAATAAACGGTTTTACAAATGGTCCCCAAGCAAGGTCAACAACAGCTTCAATTACAAGACAAACTTAACAAGAGTTGCAATAAACCAAGTACTCTGTATTGACTTAAGAACAGGCTCAACTCCATATATCGCCACTAGCCGGGTATTACAGGAATGCATATTGTAAAAGAAAGGAAGGGGGGAGCTTTTTTCTTTGCCAGAATTTGTGACTGCACAGAGACTCCTCATTCACCTCTCTCCAACCAGCTAACCGCTCAGCTCAATTCACCCCACACAAAGGCTGGAGCCCAGACCTCAATGGACCAAGTGAAACATGTTCAAAACTAGGCTCTCTATTGTGACTGAATTTCTTAACATCTTTTCAAAAAGCAGAGAATGCCTTGAGGCTAAAGGAAGAAACAGGCTAATGGTGAATTGGGAATTCTGAGCAAATTTCAGAGCCCTTTCCTCCTAGCTTTTGAGGTTGAAAGCAAGCTCTTTCCTTTCAAGTTTCAAAGTCCTTTTTCCTCCCGCAGTGTCACAGAAGGATTTGAAAAGAAGGTAATTGTGCTCGCAGTCTCCCTGATCAGAGCTTACGTCCTATTTCTGGTATTTCGGAATACTTCTTGCAATAATAGTGCATATAGCTCAATCCCTTAACCGGCCTGCACTCTGCAATTGCTCATTAAATGAACAATTGTGGGTATAAAATGCCTTTCATGTTCAAGGTCTGGATATAAGATAAGCATTCTAGGACTCTAAATTTGGTTTACTAAGGAAACTCTCCATCATTAAATTACAAAACTGAAGTCAGAATATGAGGCTTTCCCAGAAAAGTGGCACTCAGATTTCGGTGAGCCAAAATGAAGGT